GGACATCGTATTTGGTAGAGAGTCAGTGGAAATGAAAGAAAACCTCCACGAGATGGACGGACACAATAGCTGCAACAATGGACTAACAATGCCTAAGGTTTTGAAGATGGCACAGACTGGACAACATTTCTTTCTATTACACATAAGGTTGCCATGAGTCAGAGCCAACTCAACAGCAACAACAATTTTGGTGATCTGATGATGGTAGTGATGCTGATGGTGGTAGGGATGGTAATGGTGATAGTGATGGTGCTGGTAGGCATAGGAACAAAGACTCCAACTACTGAGGCTGTCCTCAGGCCCAGCCCGACCAGTCTCTCAGCCACCTTGTTTTTCTGGGCATGACCAACTTTCATAAATCAAGTTTCTCCACCCTTCTTTGCTTTATGATCTCTTATGTGGCTTGTCAATAAAATTTTGTAGCTCCAATTTCTTAGTAGTTGGCCCCAGAAAGTAGGCTATAAATCAGCCTACCTCAACCTTTTACTGTAAATCTCAGCTTTCAGCTTGCTGGGTTTCCCATTCAAGCCTTTTGAAGCCTCTTCTCACTTCTTATAAAAACAAGGAACGCTGTTGCTGCCCCATTTCACAGGAAACGTGGCATTCCTGCTCCCTAAGCGTGATTTCCCTGAAAAGCCTTCACTCCTTCCTGGTTCTCTCACTGAGTCACTATTTTCACTTTTTACCCCTTTTCTCCTCCATCTTAGTTTTATAGGCTTTCTTCACCTTTTCTAACATTCCTGTTTATTTGCTCCAATCTCGTATCATAATGTTGGTACCCTCCTCTATCAATCAGCAACTCTTTGCCCATGTTCCTCTTCACTCACCTCTCACTTGGGACATTATTTCCTAACTCTGGGCCACAGTAATGCTGCTGACAGTACTCACTCCAGAAATGGAAGCCTCTTTTAACAGCCACCAGTGTTGTTTGTTCCTCTTCATATTCTTTAGAAATACCCACACCTTCCATGAAGCCTTTAGATAAGCACATCTTCACTTTCTGATGCCAGGGTAGCTTCTGGGAGTAGGTGAGGATGCTCCTAATATTGCCACATGCTCCCTTCCCTCAGAAGGCATTTGGAATTGTGAAAGCCCTGGGCTGAGGACCCATCATCCACAGGAGCTAGCATGGCACTTTCTGGATTATCACACTATCATCTGGGAGAAAGCAATGACCTCATGGCTTCAGTGCTTACATTCACCTGGGCTTCCTACTTGCTTTCTGTACCAATGTCCTGTTGTTTAAGCCTCCAATCAATTTAATGGAAATGAGATCATGCACCCTGCAGGGAGTTTCACAGGGACTTAGAAAGGTACAAATAGGACTGTAAGATTTTTTTTTTCTTAATCAAAACCAACTTTTTCCCAGTAACATTTAATATTTCATTTTTTTTTTTCAGTGATTGGAGATGCCTGGTATGTTAGACTGGGTTCTCTAGAGAAACAAAAACCAGCAAAGCTTATATATATATATAAAGAGAGAAAAAAATTTATCTTAGGAAAATGGCTCACAAATATATAGAAGGCAGCAAGTCCAAAGTCCCTGGAGCAAACGTCAG